AAATTATAGTACAACACATGTAGTTGCAAATAAATCAAAATAGCAACCATAACAATGTTACAAAAGCAAGCTTCTTTTTGCTGAATTAAACAATCTGGTAAATGAGTGATAACACTATTTTCATTTTTTCTGACAACTTCATAACGTGTCAAAGCAATTACTTTACACCTACAAGTTTGGTAATAAGAACCACAATTGTATCGATATTTACCCCGAATCATATCAAAAGTCATCGAAGAATTGTGATAATGACAGAAATATCTTCAAGGAAACTCATCATAGTTTTAATACACTCAGTGTACAGACATGCTTTGCTTCTAAGACAGCAGTGCCAGGTTATTTTTACATTCATTAGAGTTACTTGAATATGCAAAATCCATAGCATTCATATGTAAATTGACAACTATGTTGGAATCATCAAAGATGCATGCTGTAAAACCATTAAATTTCACTAAAGTTGATGTTTTGAACATATTCACATGTATTTAATTTAGCGGATTTTACTTATCTGTGAAAATAGTGTAATTAAAAGCCAGTGAATAATTAATGCATTTACAGTAGACTAACATTTGTAATGCATACCTAAATAACTAAAAATATACCGACATAGCACAAAGCTAATAGGATAAAAGCAACTGGCACACTGAATATCAATGAGAATAAATCTAATGAAATCTAGTGCGAAAAAATGAAAAAGCCATTTTACAATTTGAAGTGACGACAATGAACACTTCACAAGTTATCAGATGCAAGGAGCGAAAGGTCAATGAAATGAATAGGAGCTATGGCCGGCCAATGACACCATTGTCTGGAATCCACAATGAGTCAGTCAAATAAAGCTAACAATGATGAAGAAAGCAAACCTGCACTTTGAACACAATACAAAATTAGATGTTTTATATTTTTAGTCTGTCTTTTAGAAAACAATAATTCTAGAAATGAGAGGTGTAATAGAAATTTGAGACATCCATTAACAAGATATCAAATAAACTGAGAACTGTTCCAGTATAGTTCAAGTGCTATTTATTTTTTTAAATTCAAAATTCATAAGGCGAAATGACTGGCAAAGATAGTGTCTGAATGGTATTACTCACAAATTGTTAAAAAGCAATGATATTTCTGAATTTGTTGTTTTGTAATTAAAACAAGTTACTCTCATTATTTTAGCAGGAGACTGGACATTAATGTTAGTTCTGAATTTCACAAACACTTGAGAAAAAAAAAGAGCAGATATAAGCACACCATATATAGCAAATATTTTGGGAAGAAATATTTACTACATCGAGATAAAAGGGAATGTAAACACTGATACTCATGAAAAGTAAAAAACACAGACAGCTTGTGTAAATTTAAACCTCAACCTATGGAATGGCATTTCATTATTGCAATCTTAGGGCATAGCAAATACAATGTAAGCCATAAAATTGAAGGTGCAGCAGCCCATAAGAACACTAAGAGTTTATTCTTTGACCTTACTGGAGGAAAGAATTCTAGCAGTGCGTGGGTTGTGTTCATGCACAGTCCCTCTATCATGGCACAACAATAATGGTACTGTACGATATAACAAAGGACAGTCAACTTATTTACACTACCCACACAAAACTTGGGACCAATCCATATAATATAAAGTTTTTGCACAAACATAAGAAATTGGAACCAGGTCGTAGCTGTAATTCTTCACTATTCGAACTACAGGACCAAAGACGAATTAATCAAAATATGACTAATCACAGGACATAATGTTAAAAATTATTACATACTATCACTTACCGCAAACAAAATGAAATACTTTTGAACTCTGCTCTCAAATTAAATACTTCAATTTTAATTCCATCAATGAAATGAACTGTTTAAGTAGTGGCCCTACTGTTTACATACCTAAATGCTACAGGGCTGATTGCTACAGATAAAACATTCACAGGCCCGAGTTTCTTAGCATTTCAGCTATATCACAATAGAAATACCCAACTTTTTTATCTTCCCAAACCCCAGGGTTGTTGTGGGTGGGTGGGGTAGTTCACATTTAATGATGTCATAAAAACACCACCACTTTATTTTATAAACACCGCCTACATTCAGTAACAGGACACGAGCACTGACCCTATTAATCAGAAATGAAGAAATGCTATATGATGTAACACAGCTGGAAGTGCAGAAGACCCACACCCATTTTTTTAAACCAGAACTGCCTTGTCTATTTAAAAATCCCTTTGCATTTTCTGATTTAAGAGTTCATTCAAAGGCTTGGGTATTGGTGCCAATGTAGTCCAACAAAAGGTACAATACAGTCACCCTGGAGGCCGACAATTCACACTAAGAGGAGTTATAGAAAGTGAAAGATGCCTTAACAGTTTTGTGAAAGAGGCATGTCACAATGTGATAACAAAACTGTACATTTTCCAACAGTTTGTATACTACTGATATATATTGAGTTCATGTTCATGGAACTATTGAAAATACATTAAAACTCCAACAACACGTACCGGTAACAGCAAGCAAAATGCAAGTTCGGGTAATTTATTTTGGTCAAGCTATGACTGCCAAATGCTTTTAATTCTGCAACTTTAATTTATTTTGCTTCAATTAACACCCTTACAAAATAGAGATTTTATTACAAAGAAGATTCAAAAGCTTGGAGCATCAGATAGTCAAAAAATAAATCACAAACAATTTGTGATAAAATTTGACACAAAATGTAATTGATACAGCATACAGCAAGGTTTTTGTGTAGGGGGACAGATGTCAGCTAGAGAGCAGCAGCATGTGCAGTGTGCTGATCAATAAGGTTGATCTAAAGGTGATGAAAGGTCATTTACGCCGTTTGTCAGGTGACATATTACCATGTGAGGTATATTTTGTTGACCACATGCACCATATTGATCAGTAGACTGTTTTTCATTTAAAATGCTGTCTGTTCTCATAATCCAAGACTAGACAGAAAAGCACACTTGTCGAGAATTACAAAAACCATAGAATATGCATTTTATACATAAATTAAAAGCAAGTAATTCAACAAATTACAGTAAACAGTTAAATTAAACACCCAAAACATTTGTTTTTTGTTTACATCATTACATACAGTAAAACTTAAATGCAACCTCGCTATTAATTTATAATTAATAACTGAAGGACACATACGCAGATTTTAATTTAGGCATTGACTGGAAGGCCTCAGTTTTATGCAAATCACAAAACACATTCAATGCTGCTATCTCAGCATGCAGAATGAACAGCAAATGAAACATGCCAGCAAACATGTCTCAATATTATTAACACGTTTTAATGATAAATTGAAAAGTGCATCAGGTCAAAGGTTATGCAAAAGTGCATATGGATGGGTTAAAGGATGTAAAAAGTTCAAAGGTTGTTTATGGTTTATCTGTTTTAAAATTCAAAATTATATCATTTTAATGGTAATTCCTCAGCTTGCTAGACTGAGGTGATTCAGAGGCCACTTAAAACTAGTACTTTTTTAAGGTTACCATACCCTATTTAACAAAAGTACATATCCCAAATGCATTTTAATTTGCTAATAAAGCTTTAAAAGAACACACAGAAGAAAAATAACTTTTTTTTTAAATTTAAATTAATGTGAGTCAAGTCAACTCATTTAAAATACTGTAAACAAGCTACGTAAACTTTCTAATAATGGCCGATCTCTTGGTCTGAACACAATGAATATTATCCGAAATTAAGCAACTACAAATAAAATTTACCTACAAAACCGAAGATCACACAGTCCCATTTCAAAAGTAAGTATGCCTTATAATTTCTCTATTTATCACCGAACACTAGTATCTTCACATGGCTTGGGTTACATTGACCCTTAATAAACAGGACCACCGCCCATCAAAAATAGAATCTAATGTATGTCTGACTGACTGAATGCAATACTGCAGAAAAAGGGCTGTTTTTTTTTTTAATTAGACACAAAGCAATAATAAGCACCTGTTTAACATTTATTATGACACATTTAAGCTATTTATTGCCCAGAATCTCAAAATTATGAATACATTTCCCAGTCAGACATTTATTACATGCACACGTCGCGCAAAACCATGGCCTTCATCCCATCAGTAAATTATGGGCGAGATAGTGAAACAGCTGAGTTAATACTCGAGCTTGGCGACGGCAGTTGTACCTCCTCACGAATCCCACATCATTTTTTGCAGATGCAGTTGATTATTTTAGAGAATCGGGACGCAGTTCGGGCCCTTTTTCCATCATGCAAACATATATCAAGAACCAGGATGGGCTGGCCTTGCTTCCCACGAACGAACATTGACAAGCGTCTGTTCTGCAACCTGAGCCGATAGGGGCACGGTTGCATTCATGTTTGCTGCCCAAATTCTCATTCAGGATCGACTTTGAGCTACTCACCTCTACGTGGGAATCTTGGAGATCAGCTCCCACAAGCTTAGTGTCCGAAAGTTACTCCTAGGCACTGTAATTAACCAGAATTTTCACGGATTATTCAGGTTTTTGCTGAAAAATTCTGCGGGAATCCACTCAGGGATGCAAACCTATTCACCGCTTCCCTCCTGAAGAGCTGAAAATTAGTCCGCGCACGATCAGCAAACTTATTCGGTTTCGGCAAAATCCTCGTGATTACATTGCAATCTTCCTAATTTAAGTTAATAAAAACCCGTTATTCAAAAAATGGGCGTTGTTTGGCAAAAGAATGAACGAGAAAAATGTTAACGTTCTCGGGACATCGGACTATTTTCATTGTCCCTCACATGATAGTGCACAGTCTATGAATGGTGAGTATTATGGGATAGACACGCACGGGTCAAATTAATTATGTATGCAATGAGGTAATGCTGCATACCGAGCTTTTATTATTATTAGACCGCCAGAGGGACACGCCCCCATCTCTCCAAATATGACCATATGAAAGCCATAGACACACAAAAAAACCCAAAACAATAAATTGTTAACAGGCAACTATTTCATTCACATTTTGCCCCGTCTGAATGATATTATATTAGTTACATTACATGTAACTTACAGCCGGAAATTACGTGTTTTCAAAGTTATTTCCTGAAACACGGCTGGTAACACAACGTTGGCGACAGCCGTATGCGTGACATTGTCGGGACAATTTTTGAATTGTTATTAACTATACCATGGTCATGTACGTTACATCCAGGTTTACCAAACAAAACATTGTTATCGTGGCCACGCGGAACCAACCACACGTTAACAGTTTCACTGTTAAGACAACAACTTTCTAAAAAGTTTAAATTCGATAGCCGATTGACATTGACAATCATTCAGTTGCTTTGGGAGTGTTGTATACAGTGTCACTGACCTTACGAACTACTGGTATATTTTTTCAGGAGCTACTATGTATACACTTATCTTAAACGGTCATTAAGCCACCCAATCCGCTTTGTTTATTTGTTTCAATCATTGACGGGCTCCGAGGGCCATTCACCAATTACGTTATTACCGCAAAGCTATTTGTTAGTCAAGTTTTACAACTTAATGAGATCAATGAGGTATTTTTTTTACGCTACTCGTAATACAAGTGATGCAGTATAATAGTACCCAGTCTTGATGGCCATATTGGTTAACCATTCATTTAGTCGTCCCTGTGAAGATATGTATTCTCTATAGTTTATATCTGCAAATATTGTATATAATTAGCTGACATTCTGGGACTTCAAACCATTTATTTTTACTGGCATTTAATTGTACTATTTTAGTATTTTGAACATATTCACTGGGTTTCAAAGTTTATGAATTTGCCAGGAAAACAGTGAGTCATTGTGTCAATTTACATATTTATGTGAATTTAATTCCGTGTATTTTACCAAGATTTTACTAAATTAAAACCACCATTTGACTACATTGTATTGAGGCAGCAGCACATCCCTTAGTATGTATTTGTATAATAAAGCAGAAAAAGCAGAAACCACTGAACGCTAGAAACCCAACAGGTTGCAACATCTTTCCTGTGATTGCTTGTGAACTATGTACGAGAAATTCCCTAATTAAACAACTTTAAAACTGATGTTGCACTGAATGTAGTCACTATAGAGGAGGAATTGCAAATGAAATTGTTTTAGCACTACAATTAACTGGATTGCCCAGTGAATACCCATGCATATGTGTGGCACACTGTACGTGTTAAATTTAAATGTGATCGATCCTGCCATATGCATAGAGATGAATCCAAAAGTCCCCCATTTTTTTAACTTTGTTTGAACAAGACTGACAATGGTACAATGAGGTCTTCAGTAATTATTATCAATCTGCTTATTCCTAAATTACAAGTAATAATACATGTACTGTATTAATCTTGTGGTCCCTTATACAATATGATATAAATGATTGCATAAAAGTTCCAACATAGTGCAGCAATATATCTCATTAAAAGTTTGACTGGAACATTTTGATGGAAGAAATGATTTCTAGTAAATAATAATAAAACATATATTGGTTACTGCACTAGATAACAGATATTGTCTCAGAAGTCAAGGATATCCACTCAAGGTCATAGTGTCAGGATGGCTACATTTAGCTAAAAAAAATGACATATTAAAAGTCGATATTCTGTTCTCACTTTTTCACACAAACATAACTGACTTTCAAAGACAAACAAAGTCTCCTACCAAAAGTGTGTGTCCAGGTTAATTTAGAAGAATTGCCTAAATTCATATTATGCACAATTTAGGAATGTAAGAGGAATGCAACTTTAAGCCAATGAGGCATATTTCACCAATATCTTCAAGAACATATAAGCAAGTCTTACTAACATTGAAATGAACTATGATTATATACTGACTGATGATGACTGTTAACTTTTCAAAGTTTCAGAAAAATTAGGCAATCAAACTAGCAGTATCGACTGATACTGCTTCGCTGTTTGCCTAAAACCTGAGACTGATTTACCAGAAAAGTGATCAATAGTATTATTGAATAAGAATTGCCAGCAAATTCTGACACCATATTTTGGAAGATTACAAAAATATTGACTATTATTAGAGAATTGAAGATATTGTCACAAAATGAACAAATCTGGTCTGCTCAATGTGTCTCTACATAAAATATTGAAGCAATTGTGCTAGCCATTTTCAAGAAGATGTTGAAAATAGAATTTTCTACCAAAAATATTCACTAATCAAAGAAAGCTTAGAAAGAACTCCCATGTGCTGAGAGTATTGGAGACACATTAAATATAATTCAAAATTACTTGTCAGAGATAGTGATAGTGATGGAAAAGCCGAAAACTAATAATGCAAATCAAAAAATTAATATGAACAGATTTTAATGAAAAACTAATGAGG